GCTTACTGGTTTGCTCCTCATGACTTGCTCAGTCTGTTTACTTATGGAACCTAGGACCTCAAGGTGGGTCCTCCCTCACCCATCATCAATTCAGAACATACCTTACTGCCTGGATCTTATTGAGGGATTTGCTTAATTGAGGATCTCTTTCCAGTTACTCTGCCTTTTGTCAAGTTGACACAAAACTATCTGACACTAGTCCCTTGTCAACTTGACACACATGTACACATGCACACTGTCACACTTTTCTTTTCTTACTCATCACCAGGATCTTACATTAATATTAACATCATCATATAAAATAACCCAAATTTAAAAATCCTACATCTTTAAAAATTCTATCTCTTTAAAATCCAAATTCTTTTAAAATTCTAGTCTGTCAACTGTGAGATCCAATGAAATCAAAAATAAATCAATTACTTTATTACTTCAGGAGGCACGGACCCATGCACACTCACAAATAGACAAAGCAAAACAAAACTCCAAAAGTTTAAGTAGTTCAATGCACAATTATCTGAGATTAACTCACAATCTTCTGGGATCCTCTGAAAGGCTCAGGTCACTATGGGTTTCCACACTCTGCATCACGCACAGCTTATCTTCTGGATCTAGCTGGCTGTACACCATTGCTGATTTTCTTTTTGTGCTTATCCCATTATATTGGCATCTCCAAAATGTATCTGGGCTCCACTTTCTCCTGTAACCTCCCTGAGGCTCTTTTCATTGTGCCAAGTCTCAAATCCCATCTATGACTCCTTCAGTCCAGTGCCTTCAACTGCTGCTGGGGCTGTATCTTCACCAATGGCCTCTTCTGGCCTCTCAGTTGTTCTCTGTAACCCCTTCACAACATCAAAACCAGTACTCTCTGGGTGACCATTACCCTAACATGTTCAGCAGCTGACACCAGGTATAACCTTAACTATTCTGGGACACAGCTTCAGTGTGCTATCAGGAAATGTTTCCCAGAAGATTTCACCTTCAATGCTGCTAGTCTCTTCCGCTCCAACTGGTCAGAATCAAGAGTTCCAGCAAAGTAAAGCATTCAATCTTTTCTTGAACTTGGCAAAAATTGTATATGGTATTTTACATACTATTATTAAAAGTTACCTCTGCTGGTTTTGCCAGCCCATTCTTTGCCAATTTGCTCATCACTCCTCTCTCTCTGTCACTGGGTTCCTTGGGTTCAGTTCAGTGATTAATTGTGTGTTTGCCTCTGCTTCCATCAGTCACAGGATGAAGGCTCCCGGATGGTTATAGACATCAAGTTCATTATCAGGAATGGGCATTCGAGGTGGTCTCTCCACTATGAGACAGCTGACCTGAACAGGGGAGAGCTCTTGGATCCCAGACTGACAGTGGGGAGGCCAGCATGGGACTGATCTGGATCCCCAAAATGTGAGTGTCAGCGAGAAAGCCTGGGCAACCTATGGGGCCCTGAGCTGTGGATCAGTGTCTATCCCTGATATACAAACAGTCTTCGTGTGCCTATAGCAAAAAGAGGGATGCTCTCTCAGCCTGGACTCTTAGGGGAGTGCCTGGACCCTACCCAGAGTAAAATGACAGACTCTGATATCCCCTATGTGGAAGGATTTGGCGATAGGGTGGGAGGGTGGGGGGAGAGGGGAGTGCGGGAGGAGGGGAGGGAGAGGGAACTGGGATTGACATGTAAAACAAGCTATTGAAAATAAAAAAATTGAAAAAAAGTTACCTCATGAATTATGATATTAAATTTGGTCTCATTGCTAGCACTCATCATGGTTGATTCAGTTGTAAAATTGACACATATATTAGGCTATATAACATCTTTTCTGCTTATTGATTCTTAGGATTCTATGACATTTCATAAAGTTATACAGAAAATTGCAAAGTTTCATTTATTGTAACAGAAAGTACTGTTCCTCGGTTTCTTGCCCTACAGAAATTAGATGGTATAGGTAGAAATACAGAGATCACAGCCCAAGGACCATTGATGAAAACTTCACTCTACAGCTGGACACTCCCTATGACAAATGTATCTGGCCATTATCATTTACTGTTGCTTGTGGCATTTGAAAGAAGGGTAACATGAAATTACTTTAAAGTTCCATTTCTAGATCATTTTCATCCAACCCCAATTGTTCCATTCTCCATTACACCGAACTTGAATGTGTGGTTAGTGGATCATTTTCATAAATTTACAAAAGATTTAGGAAATAAGGTACATCACTTGTATAGGAATAACCTTGTACTGACTTTCAATTTTAAATTCATACCTCTGTTCTTTAATATCTAAGGACATTTTTGGAGAAATGGTGGGAAGCTGGAAATCAACAGGACCGAATTATTTTTGATAAAGGCAAGGGAGATAGCACTAGCTTCATTTCAAAGAGTATATGTATGATTTACGTACATGTTCATGTATATGCATACCACAATTATCTAGTTTCAAATCTTAAAGGCTTTATAGAAGAGCTTGTTATCTCATTCCATACATTTCTACTAATATATTTTTAAATTATTTTCCAGGTTATTTAAGAGTTAAGTGAGGTATAATCATAAAAGGAATGCAATCACTATGTCTCCTCTTCAATGAATGTACATGCACATTAATGGTGAATTCAGTCTAAGCTACTTAAATGATAGCATTCCCTTTAATATCCCTTGTAAGTGTGTAATTGCCAAATTGAGCAGAAATGTTTAAATTCACACCTTATTAGACTCTGTTAGTTCGTGCTATACTGGAAACCAAGACCCCCTACACTAGGCATCTGGAAATGACCCTGCAGTGTTATCAGGTGTGACATGACATCTCTGATCATATAATGCTTAATTATATCCTTTCACATTCATTTTCTTCTCCATTAGTAGGGGTTCTAATTCCTGACTGCAATTCCCTACCTCCTTGCTACCGAGAGCTTAATCTGCCTTTCTGGAATACATTCTCCTCAACGGAATACATAATTGTCCCATAGAAGGGAGTAAGATTTTTAAGGACGTACTTAGAGTCCTTCATGGCCTGCCTCTGTTTCCAGATGTAGCTAACCTAATCCCTAATCCATCCATTACCACCATTGTCTCTATGCTTCCCCCAGTAATGTATTTTAGTCACACTTGCTTTGCTGTACTCTCATACCCATGGCTTATTTTCACTGTTGCTTTACGATGAAGCTTTGGTCTGCAACCTCCTTCTCCTCTCCAAATTCTATTAAATCACACTTTTGCATTATTAGATTTCTGCTGACTAGCAAGGGATCATTCTTTTTCCAGCTACACTGGTGGCATTTATAATTTAGAAACTTCCCTGTGATTATGCCTTACAACTATTTGGGATTCCTTACATCTTGAAAAGAATAGTAGCGGTTAATACATTTGATTAAAATTGATTGTGAAATAAAAGCCCGTGTTTTAGAAAATACAATGTGATCTTAGATCTGTTATAAGTCCAAATATAAAATAGAAGGAAACAAAAATTATGCATATAGCTATTTAATTAATTCATGAAGGCAAAAAAGAAAATTTGAAATTGAAGTAAAATTTGTGAGGTTTAATTTTTTTTAAAAAATATTTTCATGAAGTGGGAACCTTAATAATAAATAAACACTATCTTGGGAAAAGGAGTAAACTGTCTAGAATCCCCCATGAAGAAAATTTCTAGTTTAAAAGTAAATTAATTGCGAGATGAAGAAATAAATACTTGATGTTGCATTTTCATGACTCTGTATGAAAAAACAAATTATAAATTTCATTTCTCAGAAATATATCTTATTTGATAATAATTATGTCTCTGCACCTGTATAAAAGCTTATTTTCATTTTTTCAATATTGTTTACAGGTTGATGAAATATACAATTGTGTCCATGAAGAGACTAATAAAAAAGACACAGATTTAGGCCAGAATAGTAAGGTAAAGTTGGTAACAGTAAATGATAAAGACTGGAGTATCAGTTGGGAAATAGGAATCCAAGAAAGAGAAGCTAGCATGTGAAAAAGGTCACATTTTATTTATTTATTTATTTATTTATTTATTTATTTATTTATATTTACTCTTTTGAAGTCTCAAACTTTCCATTGAAAAATCTATGAGTGGTCAGGCATACTCAAAGAACTGAAACACAGACATGCCCAGGGAAATCTTTCTGAGAAGCTCGAGGTTTAGAAGACACCAACGAAAGGAAGAAGAGTCAATAAATTGGATAGAATGCATTTCCCGGCTAAGTCAAAGAACATGTAAGAGAAAATCACAGCTCTCTGGTGGCATTGGTCAATGTGTCTCCTTGACAGAATTGGGCTTCACCACCATAAGTGGAAGCAATCAATACTGGAATTTCTGAAGACTTATTTTACAGAAAAGAAGTTCCAGTTACTTTTAAATATGAGAGTTTGTGGCTGTAAAGGGAAACACCGTTAATTAGTGTTGTTCACCCAGAGAAGATCAGTTTTTAGCTGACTCTATATAGGAAAGGGAAATGAAACTGCCTTTGGGGTGATCAATCAGACACAGACGACAGTGACATCTGCATGACTGCTTCTGTGGCCGGGAAGACTTCCCTATATTACCTTCTTATAGACTCCGAATAAATAAGAATAGGAAGACAGAGCTTAATTTTCTACATCTAGTGAGGAATTCATGTGAGGAACTTCAAGATTTAAAGCAATACTATTACTAAAAAGTAACAATATTAACTCAATAATTAGTGTTAGGAAAATGCAGACAATGCAAAATTAAGTCATACATACTTCATAGAAATTTGAGTATCACTTTAATAAGAGATGTCATTATGCTCCAGTTTGTATTCTTTTGGATACCCACCCAATAAAGTAACATAATGAAAATTGAGGTCATCTAAGATTGGGTCTGTAGTTGAAATTCAATACATCAAAAACTGTTAGTAAAGTTGGGGGATTCTTATAGGCATAGACAGCATTGTCTAGGCATATGTTGGTTGTTGATTTTCCAGTTTCCTTCTAAGAAACACTACTGAAATCCACAACAGAATGTGCACGCATAATTTGCAGCTTACCGTTAACAATAACAATGATATCCCGGAAGTCAATCTCTCCCCTAGCCTCCACTCTCCCTTCACATCTGTATATACCTTCATCACTTTTATTGATGTTGAGAATCTGCAAGTTATTGTTTGCAAGCACAGCAAACCGATCTGAAGAGCAAACAAATGAGAGGACATGACATCAGTTATTGAGGCAGAGTCCAGAGAACTGAGATTTTCTAAGAGTTAAACCACAGCTCTTTTCTGTCACCATCGAACTTTTCATCAAACAGAAATCCAAATTTGAAAGTAAAATGTAATTTCACAACTTCAAATTTTCCACTCTACCTCTCCTTGTTATATCCCCTCCTTAAAATACATTCAAGACTTCACATCCACACAAAATGGTCAGGCTATTATTTTATCCTTGGTGCTCTGAATGCAGAGAGAGTACACAAAAGAACAATGCAAAGAGTTTAGGTATTGCTGACATGACAACTTTTAAGTGAAAACAGCCACTTGTATGTGGAAAGCAGTTAGAAAATTTATTGAACATCCTTCCCCGAGAGTAATTAAATTGCCAGTTTTTCTATAACCTGAAACGGCAGCCAAATGGCACACTAATGTACAAACTACCTAAAGGATATAAAAATGGTTATGACTTGAATATATTTAAGTATTTTTTGCAAATTACAAATTAATCTTCTTTATGAATATGAGATACAGACATTAATTTTTATTTCAAGGTTCAATTTTGTCTGTTCATATACGCACAAAGGTAGACTGGCAAAGTTTATGTAATTTGACGATTAACTTCTAAAAATGTTATTTGTTTTATTAAATTATTTTATTTTGTGTGTTTGAAAGTTTTACCTGCCTGCATGCATATGAACCATGTGCACGCCTAGTGGATCCTCTGAAACTGAGGTTACAGACAGTGTGGGTGTCAGGAATTGAACCTGGGTCTCCCACAACACTTACTCTTTATCACTGAGCATCTTTTTTTTTCCCACAGGTTCAAAAGTGCTGTGAAGTGATATGTATAATTTTCTGAGACACCTAGGCATCATCTATATTTAATATCATTATCAAATATTTTTATGTAGTACCAAGCCTTTTATTATTCTGTAAATGATGCTCTAATGTTTAGTTCTGTGTTAAGGACTTTAAATAAAATGCTACTATTTTTGTCTGTGAATTTCATATAGTACATTAAATATCTTATGTTTCATCCATTAATGAATTCATATATCACACTGAACAACAGATTTGACTAGGTGTGCTATTTAATATTTTAGTTATTAAAGTAGATACAGTCGTTTTTATCTTTGAATATTTGTGTCAAATAGGATTTCCATTAGTACAGAGAACAAATTCCCTAGACCATTTATTGACAAGATGCTACTTTTTTTGTTTGGACCAAGTTTATTGATTTTTCTCTATCTTCTGGTTTAATTGAGATGCATGGAACTCATATCAGACATTTGTCAAGAAATAAAGGGTAAAGAAAAGAAAGTTGTCACCAGTGAGTCCTGAAGTAAATCCATGTTAAAAAGTAGATGTAGTGATGTTAGTGAAAAAAGGAAAAACTATTATTGTCCACACCTAGTGCAGGTGCTATATAATTGTCATCATTATTTTCTAATGAGATGAAGAGGTGATTTAGAGTAGAAAAAAGCAAAATATAATTGTTCAGTTAGTTATTAAAAGAGGCAAGCAAGTGGCCAGTTGTTACATAATAGCTACTTTGTGAGATGCAAATGGGTAGATTAACAGGTTGCCTGGAGCACAATTATGAAGACAGATGTGTCAGTAAATAGAAAGAATATGTAAAAATTTTCCATTGTGCTTCTTTTTTTTAACCTAAGGCAACCAAAACATTCATACAGAGGCTCCCCGAGTTAAGTCAAAATGGAAAGGTGATATTTGCAGGCAAGTGAAAAGGGTTATATAAAGGTTGAAGGAGAAAAGGGAAGGCAAATGATGTAATTACACGTTAATTAAATAATTTTTAAAATAAATAATTATGCTTAAGGACATTCAAGATGAGGAGAATTCTGTCAATCACATTATGCTGATTGTACTGTGTTTTTCAACTTCAAAAAACTTGTCAAATCCTTAAATTACATTATTTTATGAAGTGTAAGAAAAGCTGTAAAAAGGAGATATGTTTTAATAGACATGGTGATATTTTGTTACACTAGCTGTAAAAGGCATAACATGCCAGATGTAATACAAAATATTCCTATAAATCAAATAAGTTCATTATTTGAATATTAAATCTTTAGGATCTGTTTTTAATGTTCATAAATTAGGAAAGTTTAAGCTGCACAATTATCATTATTTTATTTTCAGTGCATGCTCTACAACCCAGTAATGTGTTACAATTTTAAATCTGCTGATGAATGGTTTGGAGAGAAATTATTTTCTCTAGGCATAAGCTGAATACATATAATTTTTGGAAAAAACTTGTTCTCATCTTTAAATACAGAATTAAACATTAATAAAACAGATAAGCACCTATCTAGTAACATATTTTGTTTATTTACATAGCAAACACTTATGAATGCCTGATATGTTGTATACAAGCTACCGAAAGTGCTGAAGCTGATGCATTGGTTCATTGTCTACTGATAGAATATTTCAATAAGAGCACAGGAATTGGATAAGCTCTTCAGTGTTTCAAGACAAAGGGTGGGAGAAGAATCAGATGAAAAGTCCCAATTTGCATATTGCATTGCAGGATGCTGGGAAACCATGTGAGCTATGCTACCTCAGCATCAATATCCACCACTGCTACATTTCTTAGCATTCTTTCTTTTAAGGCTTTGTTCCAAGTCACATTTTTTTTAATTTATTTGATTTTTAAATTTAAATTAGAAACAAGGTTTCTTCACATGTCAATCCCAGAGCTATTACTCATTTTAAAATCTTCTTGTGATCAAGGTTTATAATAACTTGCATGTAAATGCAAGCTCCAATATTGGAGAATCTGAAAGTATGTAGACATCGCATTAACTATTATAAAGAAACTTAATATCCTTTTAGATTGGAGGGACAAGGCTGAAAACAAAAGTATGCATACAATTTGTGAAAAGCTTGATGCATTTATATATACCAAAATAAGAAGTTACTAAATGTTATGATTTATTAAATTAGAATAGAAACAATAGTTCATCATTAACTGACAAGTACTGAGTATGTTATGCCTGGAAAAAATATCTTAAAATAAAAATGGCTATTAAATATAACTATGACCCATTCTCTAAACACACTTAAAAACAGACATTTTACTTTCTATATTCTATGCTGTGGAAAATTCATCTCTTTAAAACATATAATGGAATCATCTAACATAGAAAATACTTTAAAAGATACAATTATTTGTACCTCTATGTAATGCAGGTGCATTGAAAAATATACCAAATTGAAAATGTTCCTATGCACAATAGTAAAGTAGCATAATGTAAGCAAATTATGTTTTAAATTTCAAATGTCATATTCTGGAATTTCACCTCTGTTTGAGTTAAAATATGGGTGATAATTTGAGCAAAAACTCTCTTCTGTAAATTATCCATACTTATCTTTCCATAAAACTTAGAATATGCCACTTTCTTGGAGAGAACATCCATAGAATATAAGACAGATTTCATACTGATATTATATTCTGCTTTTATATGGTATCCTCATGGTATTCAAAAATACAAAAAGTAGATTTTGGGTGCTTCACAGTCCACTACTTTATTTTCTGTTTATTTTTTAAATGTGTAGTAATGCCAGGTAAAAACAGAATACAAGAACACATTTCCCTATAGAAGTACTTAAAGGAATTCTATAATAAAATAACTTGAAAATTCGACTGCCAAATCTGCCATAGACAAAACACAACTGTTCAGCATGACGTTTTTTCCTGTTTCTTGACTACTTGCTTGCTTGTTTGTTGCATTTTGCTTTTCAAATGTACACATATATTCCACATTGGCTTTGGAACTCTTCAGAAGCTGAAGTGACCTTCAACTCTTGACAGAATTTGGCCCAAAGATCAGAGTACAGCCAACGTCATGCTAGGGCTTACATCTCAGAATACTTGTTTGGAATCTTAAGTGAAATTCATACCATTCCTTTTTGTGATTGCTTGTTGTTGGAATCAGATTTTTGTTATGGCCCAGGATGACTTTGGCATCACAAGTTTCCCTGTCAGCTTTTCAAGTGCTAAGAATACTGGCACACAATATCATGCCTGACTCTATGTTTCTTTTACAACAACACAGAACTTTCATATTTGAAGATCTTGAAGTGTTTTGAGAACATATAACTTAAGGAGTTACCAAAATACTAACTGTCTGGGATGGTGGTGACTTCCTCATTGTGGTACAGCCAGCTGACAGCAGGGGCAGGCGAGCTGCTAACCCTGCAAACCACTTCTGCATCCTCCCCTTGCTTGAATTCTTGAGGGGACACCACTTCTTTGAAGGTGAGTTTTTCTGCATCAAGAACATAAGCCACTTGTTAAAGATGTAACACTTACTGAACTCAATGTGCTCTTATCAATGACAATGAGTGTAATGAGAATTTTTGACATTTAAAAACTTTATAAGTGGTGGTCTCATATTCTCAGCACCTTGCCAATGTGCTCCAACAAGACAATTTTGCCTTTATTCTCTTAAACATTCTTGACTGTGATGCTTGCTCTTCTGAAAATTTAACGGTCCACTTCAACTCTTTGAATTCTCTACCAACAATTATTTATTTACTGTGCAATTCTACTACATCTGTATACGCCGTCTATGTATTTCGAATATCTGTAGAACACGACTAAAAACAACACTTATTAGACACCAGTAAGTGTCTTGGCTTAAAGAATGAGCAACAAAAGTTATCTTCAAAAAACAGTTTTAAAAAAAATCTGAATTGTTTTGGCAAGAGAGTTGACTATTTTTAATTTATAAATAAATTACCAAGGATTTCATGCATTGTTCAAAAAGTAATGAAAAAAATCTTTCAAATCTATGCGTATAGATTAACAACATTTTTTTTGTATTTTGAGAACCAAGCAACATAAGATATCCTTTTAACATGATTTCCAGAAAATTTAAGGTTACATGGGTAGAAAAAGCCAAAGATGAAAAATTTCCATAAAAACTCTGGAATATATTTTAATATATCATATTTTTATAGCAACGAAAAACAAACTAATGAAGAGCAAGGCATTTTTAGTTGTCTATTAAAAAACGTATGAAATTCAATCTCCTTCAAATGTATTATTGAGTTCCAGTTTTTAATCTTATGCATATATTATTGTGTTTGAATCCTTTGTAATGAAACTGTTGTTTCAATTAACTAAAGAACAAATGCGCAAACTTACGGTAAATTTCCAAAACTACTGTAGCTTCCTGTGTCTGTCCTTTGGCATCTGTCGCTTGGCAACGATATATCCCTGCATCTTCTATGTTTGCATTATAGATGGTTAGACGTGACCTGACTCCTTCTTTCTGTAGCATAACCCTTTGTGTCGAAATGACCTTCTCTCCTTGAGGGTTATACCAGTCTATACTCTCAGGCTCACCAATTGCTGCAGAGAGGAAAACAAATGTGTGAAGATCGATTTGGAATGTTTGTTTTTATAGTGACATTTACTACTGCGTAACAATTTCAGCAATTTAGACAAGAATGTCAATAGAAGACTGGAAATCTGAGAATTGTACAAAACTGAAAGTAAACACAAATGTTAAGACAAATGTTCATCTTTGTTTAAACAACATTGAGAACTCCGTCTGGTCCATGTAAGCAAACTCCAAAATTTTCATCTGAAATATATCACTAGAATTTAAGCTGTGAGAATTGAAGCTTCACAGTTACAATATATTGGTTATTTTTGCACAAAATATTAAAACTGCCTTAGGCAGACACAAGCCCAATTGATAGACATTTCTAGAGAAACACATGCTTACATGGTTTCATATGCTCAGTTCTAATTGCTAAGTTCAAGAGACAGCTGAAGTATTGGCCCAGATAAAGAATTGCTCACAAACATGTAAATATTTTGTAAAACAAATTTTGGCCTTTGGTATTTCTAAATTTTGAGCTAATTTTCCAACTTGTTCAAGTGGTGCTGAAAACACTAATTGCTATTTAAAAAATAAGTCCTAATGTCTTTTCCCCAATAAATGAGTTATTCTGTCTTCATCTAAAATTATTAACTATTTAATCGCATTATAATTAGAATTCATGGAAATAGCACTTATCCTGCCTAGCAATTATAGTGTAAACATTAGTTTAAAGTTTCCAGTTCAGAATCTAGATCATGAACCATTTCATAAAACCTATAAAGTTTCCTGCAATTTCTTTCAGTCAACAAAAGGTAGTACTTCATCTAACATGCATGAACACAAAAGTAGTGGGAAAAATTTATAAAGTTAACTACCACATGTCTCTGAGAAGGAAATAGTTCCTTCTTGTTTTATTTTTATGAAATGTTCTGAAAATATCATTCTTTGCAAATAATATAGACATATACAAGGAATAAGCCATAAGTCTGTATCAGTTCAATTAGGAATAATATGAAATTATCACAGTTTTTAAATTCAATGTGATATTGTAAAAATATTTCAGATATTTAACTTTCTAATATTATGGTAGGGAAATTTCACTATCACAGAGATATCACTTAATTTTCAAAGAGCAATCACAGTTCTTTTTCTTTTAGAATATGAAGTAAGTGATAATTTTCTTTAAGATGTTCCATATGAAAACTGAATGTGTCTATTAGACACATTATTAAGATATCAAAATTATTTCTTTTCTGGAAGTATATTTAAAATATTTACTGTATCAGGAAAAGTTTTATGAATAATGTGATAGGTCTCTGACTAGTTCAAAGTTAAACTTTAAGTGTAGAGCTTCAGTTAGGCATATTTTTCAAGCATCTGAATTTAAAGTATTCTCTATATATTGACCATCAAGTAGAAAAAATAATTCAAACTGATTTGCATAGTTTCTATCATTACTATACTTTATTCTTAAGAAACTCAATACATTGTTAGATGACCTATTTTCAAAATTTCCACTTGTTTATATCACAGTCAATGCTATATATATGTATATATACATATCAAATTGTATTAATCTACAAAATAAATGATATTTATTTTACTTTTGTAACAGATTTTAAGCTTTCCATCCTATGTAATTTGAAAAAAAACTTAGTTTTTGTGTATAGAAACCATGTGAAATATAAAAACAGGAACCCATATCCTTAGGTCAAAAGTCCTCTGTTATAAGGGAAACAATTAAAGCAATATCATTCACCTCTGACACCTCTATCACTACAAAATATTTGTATCACCATATGTGTAATTTAAGATACACAGGTAAGCAGATATTTTCTAATCATAAGATCCAATATTTTATTGTCTATATCCTCTGAATATGGCTCATGAATGTTAGTATAGCATGCTTCTAGCTTTAATAATTTTCATAATTTAAATAAGCCATAGAATTGTCAATAAAACGTTTTCCTTTTGTGTGATCCTGAAGATAGTCAGCTTTAAAAGTAAAATTAGTCCTAATATGACTGTTTATATGGGAATAATATTTAAATCATGAAAATTTTATACACAGATTTCACTTTTAATGTAATTTTATAAATAAATAAACAACTTTGATGACCAAGTAAATGAAAATAAAATTCATAATGTTATTACATAATTGTTCTCAATAGTTTTTATCATATAATAAATGATAAGACATTATATTTTAGCAATGTCAATTTAACTATTTAAATTTATCCAATGTATTTTATAAACATTAAAATACAAGGCACTTTATATGTATACATACCTGTACATGTGAAGAATTTAGATTCACCCACACTAAGCTCTACTTTGCTAAGTGAAATTGTCACTTGAAGAAGTGCTGAAAAAAATATATGAGAATCAGTTAATTGGTGTTTTGGGTGGAAATTATAATTATTGATATATAACTCACACATGACACACAAATCATTTTGTCAATTTTTCAATAAAAATGAGTTTTATAAATATATACTAGCAATTTTATATGTTACAATAACATGCATTTCACACTAGTCTAAATGTTATCTATAATTATTCATTAAAATAATGTCAGGTATACAATGGATAGTATCCATACTTTACTTTCCCCTAAAAATCAGATGAATGTTACATATTTAATCATAATGTGTGTTAGGTAGAAAGTACCTTGCAACAGTCAGACATTTGTTAAAATATATCTTATATCATCATTATAAAAAATATGTAAATATGATGATTTTATTAATAAAAATATTTACCAAAGGAGACAAACACAAAAAATGGAGCCTTAGCCAGCAAAGGTGAATGAATACAAACATTTACAAGATAAGTAAGTCTAGGGGAGTAACTGAAATGTTAATACAGACATTAGCCAAGTGTCCAGTATCTTAAATACTTGTTAAGCTTTAAAATAATGGAAATTCTAGAATTGTAGAAGATAATTAAAATGTTATTCTTATAGAAATTAAGAGACCTATTTCAAATCTAGCGAAGAATACATAGTGAAAGGAGTACCCAAATACTGTCTCTATAATCTTCTTTTCTTAGAAATAGGTAAAAACATTCAATAAGGCAACATGTGCACAAGGAATAGAGAAAACAGTGAAGACTGTGTATGAGCCTGTGCTAGGAACTAATATCAGAGTAACCAACAACACTCTTCTACTGAGCACAGACTGTAGCAAAGACGTGTCCAAATTGGTCCTGTGTACAGCAGTCCTACAGATACATAGCATGGAGCTGGAGTAAGAACCACACTTGGTGCTGGAGAAAAGATCCAATCAACCAATCAACGCTCTCAGGAATGAAGACAAGGAGACTTGTCTCCCCTGAGCACAGTACTTATATCCATAACAGATCTGTCACATTGAGACTCATGATTTTAATAATGAATATGTGTCGGGGAAGTCTTATGTCAATAAAGTACTGCTGAGCCTATAGGGAATCAAGATAGGAGGGATTAGGAGTCCAGGAGAACTCTGGGAAGGAGAAACACAAGAGAGTCGAGATGTAACGCCATTGGGGTAGGAAGCCCGGAAACCTCTCCGGTAAGAGACATACTTAGATTAACAATTATGGGGTAATTACTTAAGTCAGAGCTAGCCAGTAAGAAACAAGCAAGGCCAACAGCTTCATAATTAATATAGTCTCCTGTGTGTTTATTTGGGACTGATGTGGATCTGGAGCCAGGCGGGCGGGAAGGCTCCTCTCAAGGAAAGCTTTTCTTAACAAATATGTGTTCTCAGGAAAAATCCAAAGAAGTGGTCTGCTACAATATAATGCCTTGAGGGGCTAACAGTCAACTGTGGTGAGCACAAATGCCTTTGGAAGACACACAACACACCCTAAGCTTCCTATATTTATATAGGTGAGCTTCTATTCAGTGTACCATCATGGGCTGACCTTAAAAGAAAAATGGTTGTAAGATACAGTGAATAATAGCTGACACAACCAACAGAAGGAATGGAAATTCTAGTTTTCAAAAAAAATGCATATGTTAGACTGGGTTAAAACATAACTGTTCTGAAATATTTAAAGAAATAATATGTACTCACAACATTTTAAAACACTGGTAGACTGGACTTGAATTTTTTTCTGTCCTAAACAAATGAATGGTGATAAGGCAAACATGTCGAATACAAGGTAACTATTAAACAATTTGTGTGCACATTTAAACATCACATGGGATCCACAATAGACTGTGTAGACTGTGGATTGTATGAGAAATAATCTACACATGCTTGCGTGGGATCCACAATAGATTGTGTATACTGTGGATTGTATGAGAAATAGTCTACATGTGCTTGCATGTTGAACATGCCTTTTGAGGCTGATGATTTGAAAAGTTATGGTTCCTTTGAAATGGAAACTCCGTGGACTAAGATGTTCCCTGGGTGGTGAGCTTGTTCTTTCCTTTTAGCTTGATTCAGTGAAGAGGGACAGATGGGCATGGAGAGAGACAAGACTAACATGAAAACGTCATTTGGCATGGAGATTAGAAACTTATCCCTAGCAGAGCTGCCTGCAAGTGACTGAGAATACCTGTGGGGTCTAGATGGTCTACAGATCTTTAGGATGTACAACCCTCACCCCAGATGTGGCCTTTTGAATGTGGAAAACCTCAGGCAGGAGATAGAGCCTAGGGCTAATGTCTTCCAGGGCAAAATGAGTCCACATAGGTTGAGTGAGTGCCAAAAGATGAATTCAAAAACGCTGTTTGATCAATCTCTGTTTCCAGTGCTCTTTGTAGTGGTTAGATACACAATGAGTAAACTACAATGGGAAAAATAATGATAATTCATTCTTGAAGGGAACCCAGAGTATTGTGTTTTTGCCTACCATTACCCTCCGTTCTGGGTCCCTCTGATACCCACAGTTGCTCAGGCTGTGGCATGTACCTAAGGAAAAATGTATGATATGCAAATGTGAGAGAAAGTGTTGTGTTTTGCAAATGACTTATGAAGGGCCAACACCCCCAGGCCACAGCACTTTTGAGCTCAGAACTTTCCAGCTGTCTAGCCCACTTTTCTTCCTGGGAGTAACTTTTTCTCTTAATAAACTGTCTCTATTTCTATCACTGTATGTTACTGCGGCATTTCTTTGTTCTGGGAAACAAGAAGCTAGATCTACCAGCATGTGCTCTCTGATTCATGCAGGTAACAATTGGTGATCTTCCAGTCAGAAGGTACAATTGGTTTATGTCTATAATCCCTGAACTTTAACACAATGGAAAATTAAATGCTTTCAGACCTCTCCCTTCCCTCTCCCACAAAGAAGCAAGCGCCCGACAGCACAGCACTCCTGCTTCCTTTCCCTCTCCCTTTCACAGTCCACAGCTCACTTAGAAATGGTGGGCAAGCTATTGTGAGATGCCTAAGGATAACATGGTGGTAACAGTTACCAAAGTCCTGAGGGAAAACAGCACAAGCGAGTGGTTCAAACTCTGGTCAGGGAAAGAAGGCCCTAAAGAGTTGAATTCTCAGACCAGTGCTTCCAACTCCCCTGCAGCTACATTGAGTGTAGTCTAAGATTCCTGGGTAACAATGACAGTGAACAGATCTGCAAATTATCAACTCTCCTTGTGCACACAGATGGGATGAGAAGTCCATTAATGTAGGCCTTGTATTTCCCAGACCCATTATTATAAAAGTACACATTAATTATTTTTATTCCCACCTATGATGCATGGTAAATATTGGAATTAGTTTTATCCTGAGGCTATAAAGAAAAATAGGCCTCTAAACAAGCTGTAGGGGGGTATGATAATTGTTGGGGCCTAGCCCCCACAGTCTCTGAATTGTTTGTCAGCTGATAGCCACAAGTGCATCCTGTTTTGTAGTCCTGGCTTACTGCCCCTGCATTGCCCCACTAACATCAATATCTAGCATGAGGAAAACATGCTCTCTTCCACTTGGGTTTTTCCACTGTGCTGTATATAAGACTGCTCCCTCTTACAAGACAGAGACCTCTCAGAACTTGCAATAAAGGCATGCGTGCAGGCTCTCTCTCTCTCTCTCTCTCTCTCTCTCTCTCTCTCTCTCCTGGCAATAAAGGCAGCACATGCATTCTCTTAGTACAAACAGCTGGACATCTTGTCTTTCTTCTCCTGATACCCTGGACTTGCTAGTGATGCACAAGTTGCAGATAATGATTGAGTGAAGAATAGAAATATAAGCTATGTGATACAGCATCCAGACTTTTCTTATGACAGAGAAGTAATTAGGCATGTCTTCTACACCAGGTCTTCATGACAATCTCCAAAGACAAACAGATGCTGTAGAAGAAAGCACACAGTAACTTGATGTCTTAGATAACACTTGTTAGCATCCCCATTCCAACATGCAAACGGAAAACATACAAAAATGGAACTTAGCTAAAATATTTTGTCCTCACCAAAGCCCTGCCACATCTCCACGTTCTCCAGGTTATCAATAAGGGAACACACACCTAATGACCAAGCAAGGAGTAGAACTATCTGTCACCCATCCATATATTTTCCTATAGCATTATCACTAAGGCATTATGCCAGGACCCTAGAGACTAATTGGAGTCTCATCTCTATTTGAATCACAGGAATGTATGCAGACTCAAGGAAAGTCCTTTGATGAACCATTCTGTCTTATCAGTAACTTTCAGACCTTAACTCCAGTTTATAGTATTGGAATGAAGGCCTGTGCTCAATCTTAACCATGTGCTCTGCTCTTCATGCAAAAAATAAAAACAAACAAACAAATAAAAGAAAGAAAGAAGGCAAAGTTCAAATGCATGCTGACAAATGTCTGGCATAAAGTTCTAATGACGATCTTTCCAGTGTTCAGTTCCCCCTATGTTAACAACCCACCATCTGAGACTTTAATTGTAAAGGGAAGCTCTTGCCTGTACTGCTTGACTGTTGTTGTATAATCTGGACATGCAGGACCCACAGGAAAGTGACTACTGAACTCTGTCTTGCAGGGTTCCTGCTTCATGGAAGAGTCTACGAGACTTCCTGCAGGACACAGAAAAATGACTGACAGACTGCTGATGCAGATGGACAGTTTGAAATTTCCTACTTTGCTGAGAAGTGTTCCAGACACACTGTGGCCTATGGACTTAAGATGGATGCCCCTATGTTACAGACGAACTTTGGTTGACTGTGCAGGTAGCAAGATGTCTCTGTCAACCCTAGTGTTTATATATTATCCTTCTGTGGTCTTTGATGGAGTTTAAGACAGATAGTTATAGGTATAGTTTTCCTTAGTTATGATAAAAGATAAGATACATATAGAACTTTGGACTCACAAGGATGGGATGGATATTTTCTTTAAATCTTGCTAAATGTTGATAGACAAAATATTGTAACTATGTTCTTACTTGATAACT